GGGTTAAGGTACTTCCTTGCCCTCAACCAACCCCAGTTTGATCCCTGGCACTGTATAAGGTCCCCAGAGCACCATTAGGAGTGATCCCCTAGCACAGAGCCAGGATTAAGTCCTGAACACCACTGAGTATGGCTCCAAAACAAAATAATCAAAAAATAGAGCTCATTCACAATAGCACAATAATGACATTTCATACCTCCGCCTCCACATCTCAACAACAGAGCAAATTAAACCAGGCAGGAGATCCAACACCTGTGACTCAGCTCAAATGAGAACTGAAATTAATAGTTAATGAAGCTAAGATCACTGATTTAAAATGCAACTTACATATCCTCAATTAGAAAATATCAGTCTCATTACACACAGTAGATATTGGAATTGATTAATCTTCCTGCTCTACTACCAAAGGTCTCCGACATGAGGTACAGAGCTGGACTTTACCCTTGCAACATAAGCATTTTCTGTCATAACTACTTCCAAACAAGTAAATTAAAAATTTAATTTATTCTAATTTATCTGCTATGAAATCAGAAGAGAAATTTTCAAACTGAAAATGCAATAAAAATCTACTGAAATAAATCTTTTTGTACAAAAGAATTCTTGGGAAAAAGCTCAATATCTTATAGATTTGCTTGAGCGGGCCCAGTAACGTCTCCATTGGAGACTTTGTTATTACTGTGTCTGGCATATCAAATACTCTCAGTAGCTTGCCGGGCTCTAATTGCCAATGCTGAGGTAATTAGCCCTAGTTTTCTTTATCTTAATCTTTCTGTCTTGTTTTTTCACTCCAAAACATACTGAATTCACTAACAAGAGCAGGGTCAACAGCTTGGCTTTATTATTTAATAGGACAAAGAAAAGACCCTATTCAAACCTATTTCTAGGAATACATAATTATTTAATGCACTCCTAGATTGCAGTTTTGTAAATAGCAGATGTAAAACTATAGAAATTTAGCTTTACAGCTAAATTAAATTCCTCCATTTAATGTAATTTAGAGAAATGCTAATTTATTAAATCAAGATACCTTACTTTTATTTTTTGATATATAACATTTAACAAAAAGAAGAAAGAATATTTAAAGTTCCAAGTAAGTGGGTAGTAGAGTGGGGGAAAAGAGGCAGGGAATTCAGCACAGTATGATACTTTTTGGTACCTAGAAGAATAAAAGATAAATGAAAATAGTAATGAAACTAATAGCAATCAAACACTCAGGAATAAGTAAGAAATATCAAAAGTCTATTAAATAACTCAAATATCAAAAGTTTATATAAATAACTCAAAAGAAACAAAGTACACTTGACCAACTGAAAAGATTTCTCTTACACGGAAACAAAGTAATTCAACATCAGAAATATATCTGTTCTTCCTAAATCAATTTATAAAATTAATAAAATAATAAAATACTAATTAGATAAATTTTAAAAATCAGCAAGGTTTCTTTTTATGGAATGAGCCAAAGTTTATACAAAAAATAAGAGCAAACCACCAAAAAAAAAAAAATCAGCTACAAGGGCAAATTCAAATTTACCCCTATAAATATTAAAACAAATTATAAAAAACCCTATTGTGGTTAAGATAACAAATATATAAATATAAATGGTCATGAGTAAGAATGGGAAGTCCAAAAATATGTGGAAATATGGCATAAAATAACAGCAACATATCAAATAACTGTAATAATTATACTTTTCAATACATTACACTGAGACATAGTTAATGATTTTAAAAAGATAAAGATAACTCACACATCAATCAGGGATCTGTATGTTAAAGGCAAAATCTTTCAACTAATGACACAAAACGTAGATTTCTCTTAAGCCTGAGGGCCGGAGAGACAGTACAGCAAGTAAGGCAATTGCCTTGCACACTGCCGACCTGGGTTCAATTCCAGGCATCTCATATGGTTTACAAAGCACTGCCAAAAGTAATTCCTGAGTATCACGGGCTGTGCCCTCCCACCCTGTCAAAAAAAAGCCTGAGATTAAAGGCTTTCTATAATGAAAACCTTTATAAGGAAAAGGCTGTCTAGTAATAAACTACAGGTACAAAGAAGGAACAACAAATTTGATTACACATAAAAAGTACTGAGGAGAACACAAAATACTAAATATTTCTTTCACTTATAATGATTATAAAATAAAGAGTTCCTTAGACTTGAGAGAAAGACAAAAAAAATTTTTAAACAGCTCTCCAAAATGGAAAATTCATCTATACTCATAAATACAAAAAAAATGGACTTTGAAAAGATGAAAGATGCTAAAAAAGATACACATAGCACATTGTAAACTGAAAGCACAATGAGATCCATTCTTCACCTATCCAGATTTGCAAAAATTAAAACAATGCCCTGTCATAGTCACAGTGAAAGAGACATTCATATACTACTTGAGAGAATGCAAACAGGAAAGTTATTATAAACTTGTGTTTTAGAGGGGAATAAGAGCATATTTTGGGTCACAGATGGCTTGGAGACTACCATCAGCTCTGTACTCAGAAGCTACTCCGAACTGTGCTCAGGGTTCGCTCCAGTCACGCTTAGGAAACGATGCCATGTGGGTGTCAGGGATTGATACAGTGTCAGTTGTATGCAAGTCAAGTGCCTTGACTGCTGGACTACCTCGCCAGCTTGTTGGTACAATATTTATGGATAGGAATGTTGTCACAGTAAGCAAAAATGTGTTTATGTTTTAATACTTCTGTCCTCTTTATCTTAATTTACTCTGAACTAATTAGGGAAAAGTACATGTGCACGAGGTTATTCATACCAACATTTCTGAAGATTGCAAAAACTGAAAAACAAATATCCATAGAGAGAATGGCTGAATCAACTAAGCAATACTATGCAAATGTTTTCTGAAGTGTGAGAAAATTTCAGAGCTGATATGAATGATTTCCAGAAATTATAGTTGAAAAAAAACAAAATGTAAACTAGGACCTTTAAGACACTACTTTCTGAGAAAATTAACAGAACAAAAAAATTATACTTGGGTCCAGGGGATAGCTACAAGGCAAAAGTTCCTGCTCAGCAAATGACTGGTTAAAGAAACTTTGGTACATCTACACAAAAGAATAATATGCAGCTGTCAGGAGAGATGAAGTCATGAACTTTGCTTGTAAGTGAATAGACATGAAGAGTATCATGCTAAGTGAAATCAGTCAGAAAGCGGAGGACAGATACAGAAGAACTACACTCATTTGTGGAGTATAGAATAACATAACATGAGGCTGACACCCAAGGACAGTAGATACAAGGGCCAGGAGGATTGCCCCATAGCTGGAAGCCTGCCTCATAAGCTGAAGGGAAAAGGCAGATGGAATAGAGAAAGGATCACTAAGAAAATGATGGCTGGAGAAATCAGTCGGGATAGAAGATGTGTGCAGAAAGTAGATAATGGACCAAACATAATGACCTATCCGTGTCTGTATTGCAAACCATAATGCCCAAAAGTAGAGAGAGAGTATGGGGAATACTGGCTGCCGTAGAGGCAGGAGGAGGGTGGGGAAAGGGAGTATACTAGAGAGATTAGTGGTGGGGAATGTGCACTGGTGGAGAGAGAGGTGTTTGATCATAGTAACCCAAATATTAAAGCTTGTAACTATATCTCACGGTGTATGATTGTAACCCAAACATGAAAGCTTGTAACTGTATCTCACGGTGATTCAATAAAATTTAAAAAATAGATAAATTCCTGCTTTACCAGCTAAAGGCTTTGAGTTTAATTCCTGGTACTATCCACATGCACCAAGACAGCCCTGGCAACAGCTGACTAGAACCCTCAATGCTTCAATGTAGCATGTGATCTCCATAGCACCACAGCCGCCTGTGGTGAGTGACCACCAACCAAAGCGTACACCACTGGAAAATACCAAAAATGAAGGATGTGAGAGCACGATGGCCATGGTTGAACAAACTTTACTGTGAACATTAATGCCAATAAGCTTAAAGAATTGGAGTGAGATTTGTGGCTTTAAACTGAATAATGGCAAGGGCCTGCCTAGAATAGTAGTTTTAAGTAATAAACTTCTGGAACTGCTGGTTCCTAGGGACAGATGAAAAAGAGACCAAAGTAAGACCTATGGGGGACAATGATATGAAAATGATAATGCTGCATTACAGATTCAGTATTTGGGGGGCTGAGCCACACTTCACAGTGCTCAGAACTTAGTCCTGGCTCTGTGCTCAGGGATCACTTCTGGTGGGGCACAAGCAGTGATATGGAGCGCCAGGGATTAAACCGGGGTCAACTCTGTGCCTGACTTGCATACTATTGTTCTGGCCCAAACACAGTCAAACTTTTTAAGAATAATTAACTTTATACTGGTGGGTCTGGTGTCAAAATATTGAATGTAATCAAAGTAGAGAGAGAGTAATGTGGAAATCAACTGCCCCACAGGTAGGGGGAGGGTGTGGGATGGGGGTATATTGGGGTTTTTGGTGGTGGAAAATGGGCACTGATGAAGGGATGGGTGTTTCATCATTGTTTGACCAAGACTTAAACCCGAAAGTTTTGTAACTGCTCTCACGGTGATTCAATAAATAAATTTACAAAAAGGAAAAAAAAAAAAAGTAAGGTGAAGTTCATGCCCAATTCAATCAGCCTAATCAATGGCTGAATAAATAGCAATACTCCTACATTAAAAAAAATTAACTTTATCAAATGATCATAGGTTATCAGTAGTGTTTCTCTAAAGGCAATGTTTCTCTCTCTCTCTCCGAGAGCAATGAGGACGAAGGCAGATGTTACATTGTTTTTTTAAATATCCATTAAGATATTTTAACTGCCCTTCACAACATAAATGACTTGAAGCAAAGGTTCAAAAATACTGCATCTTCCAAAAAATTTTATTCCTACAAAGTACAAATCAGATTATGTTATTGTAGTTAAACTGAAACAAAAAAATTTGTACAACATAAAATACAAAGCAAAATTCACATTTGAAAAATAATTTACATGCATTAATAGCAACAAATACATGAAATACTGAGTGAGTTTTACCTTAAATCTCTTGTCCTGCAATACTTTCTTGATGGCAACCAGTTCTCCTGAATCACAAAGTTTGGCCTGATATACCACACCAAATGACCCATTTCCAATTACTTTTGTATCGGTATAGCTGACTTCCTGTGGCCTGTCTGGGCCCTGTCCAGGAGTTGCCACCACTGTGGTTACCTTGCTGCCATCTTTGTCTCCTGTAGGAGGGGGGAAAAAAATTTTAAATAAGTTGTAAAGAATTATACAAATTGCCCAAGTGCATATAATAAACTATATTCTTTGCCAGATTGTTTCTTAAGCTCTCATCTTAGTTTGATATACAGACTTACTTCAACTGCTTCACTTTTAAGTAATTTTTAAATTACCATTTATTCATTCTATAGAACAGACACCATGCTTTTCTTTATATACACAACCTCATTAAATGAAAATAACTCCATGAGGTAGACAATACTATTCCCATATAAAGTAATCAAGACTGCTAAATTATCCTATGATGAAAAAGCAAATAATGGTCCCACCCAGGATTTGAATCCTTATCTTTAACTCTATATGTCCTAGTTCTTTTTCTTTCTTTCTTTCTTTTTGGGTTCGATTCCTCTGCCCCTATTGGAGAGCCTGGAAAGCTACCGAGAGTTATCTCGCCCACACAGCAAAGTCTAGCAAGCTACCCGTGACATATTCACTATGCCAAACACAGTAATGAGTCTCACAATGGAGACGTTACTGGGCCTGCTTGAGCAAATCGATGAACAACGGGAGGACAGTGCTACAGTGCTTTTTGGGTCACACCCAGTGATGCACAGGGGTTACTCCCGGCTCATGCACTCAGGAATTACTCCTGGTGATGCTGGGGGACCACATGGATGCTGGGAATTCAACACGTGTTGGCCGTGTGCAAGGCAAATGCCCTACCCACTGTGCTATCGCTTTCGCCCGTCTTACTTCTTTTAAAGTAAGTAATTTCCTGAAAATAAGTACAACTGAAAATATCAATATACACTGACTCTACTCAGAGCATTCTACCTTTAAAAGGTATATTAAATTTTTGCTTCTTGTTATCTTATTTCTTTAAAACATAACATATATCCACATATGCAACATATATCAACATACAAACTAAACTTACACACACAAAAACACAGTGGAGTACCTTCCCCAAAAAAGATCAGACAAGGAAAGGAACATGAGAAAGAATACTAACTTGAGGGTGTAAGAAACGTAAACCATAAAAATCAAATTTATTGATTTCTCATGAGTAGCTGATTCACAAGCAGCTTTCTAGCTCTGGGGACTCTGCCCACTCAAGGTCTTCTTTCTTACTCTATTTTTTGGGGTGAGGCTCAGGGAGAATTGGGGAGACCATATTGAGCTGTGTGCAGGGTCTAACCTTGCTACTGTAAACCTTGGTAACTGTTTAAAAAAAAAAACCTGTGCCAGGGATCAAACCTGAGTTGGCTGCTTGTGCAAAACCTGACCCACTATACTTTATCTCTCAGGCTCTTCTTACCTTCCTTCAACCCCAGTAATAATCCAAAGACTCTCTTCAGTTCAAGCTCAAGAGTCACCTCCTACTTTACTAGCAAAAATCACAATTATCTTGTTCTCTGAAGTCTTAGGTTACTCTAAACTGTATCTAGCACCAATTTTACAAGTCTTGACGTTGTTCTTTGTTACTTTTAGAATATCCACAGGATTCTACTGACTACAAATACTACGATGCAGCAATTATGATGTTTCTTCCAATCCTTTCCCAACATTCTAAAACCAATTCTCAGTACAAATTCTTAAACTCTCTGACAAAACCACACTTGTATCTTTTTTCCTTTGCTATTCTTCCATGTCAATTTTTAAATACAAACGAGTTTATACTAATCTAATAAAAGAAAATAATAACTAAACTCTAGATTCTAATCCAAGGCTATTTATTTGTACCTTACACATAAAAGCACCAAAGGTAATTTAATTTTCTAATGGCTCGAGTATTCCCCTAGTAAATATAAGATTGCTAGATAAATGAACATCAAAATATTAGCCTCCTGTAACTAGTATTTATAGCTATTTAAATTCAGAGAGGTAGAGACAAAGTCATTATTTGTTACTGATGAATGCTCACTTGTCAGAGCATTTATATAAGAGCCTTTATAAAAGATACAAAAGCAATGAATAGTTATAATTTAAACAGGTGAATTACAGAGTCCCAGGGATTAATAGTTGAGGTTGAAGAAATGTTAAATTCCAATTGATCCATCACAACTGGTTCTTGTACCCCTGAAACTATTTTTTTCCTTTTGAAAATGGAAGTGCTCTGTTTTGTTTTGTGGTGTGTGGGGTGTGTTAGGGGTGGCTCCCTGTGAAGCCATACTTAGCTCATCAGGCTGAATGGCTCAATGCTAGGATTCAAGAATGTGCTCCTTGTGTCCATAGTGCTGGGAATCACCAGGGCTGCAGAGACCTTCAATTTTAATCTCTCTCTCTCTCTCTCTCTCTCTCTCTCTCTCTCTCTCTCTCTCTCTCTCTCTCTCACCCCCCTCCTCTCTCTCTCTTTTTTTTTTCACTTTTGGGCCATGCCCAGCAATGCTCAGGAGTTACTCCTGGCTCTGCACTCAGGAATTATTTCTATTGGTTCTTGGGTGGTAGGGGGTTGGGGAGCAGAGGTAGACCATGTGGAATGCTGGGATCAGGCCCATGTAGGCTACGTGCAAGGCAAGCCCTCCCACTGTACTGTTTCTCCAGCCTCAAAGTTTCATCTTTTTTTCGAGCTCATCTCTAGATCCCTTCATTTAGAATTTTCAGTGTTCAGAGACTAATGTTTGTCTTTAGGAATACTATAGCACAGGTAAAGATAGATTTATTTTATAGATGATTAGCAGTTTACAGTCAGCCTGCAAATTTGTAGTTAAGAGTAAAATCATCAGAATAAAAATAATAAGTATAGCACAGGGTTTAGGGACATACCTCAGCAGAATACATAGAACATATAGCCCTGCATGTGTGAAGTCCTGAGTGCTATTCCCAGAGGTGCAAAAACAGAGGTATACAGGTACTAAAATTATATTTCTGTTCTCCCAAAAATTTAAATTTTCAAATTTGTTATAAGTGGTTCTAAGGCAGAAATTTAATTAGGTATTAACAATAAATATATTTAGATATTAATTTTTACTCCTTAGTAGCCAGGCATACTTTTTAAAACTAATTTTGACTCATTTTAAAATACTCCCTTAAAACCCCAATTTTACTCTAAATGAAAATTCGGTCAACTAAACTGTCTACATCCTAAACTTAATTATAAATTTAACTATAAGCCATGAAATAAAATCAAGCATATTTTCCTTTTTCCTAATTCCAATGAACCAGAAAAAAAAAATCAACCTATTCCCAAAATGAAAAAAATTTCTCTTGGTTCTAAGTTCTCACTTGCAATATGCAATTTAGAAACAGGTTTATTTCTTATTAAAGTCAAAAAGGTCTGAAACCCAGTCCAGTCAAGAAGCTAGCTCAAAGGAAGGCAGTAAAGGCTTTGCATTCAGAAGCCCTGTTAGATCACCAGTGTGCAATCACCCTGGAGCACAGGTAGGAGCAAGCCTACAGCAGAAATAGCCCCTAAGCACCTCAGGGGGTGCCCCCCCCCAAAAAAAACAAAAACAATAAAAAGACTTGAAGCTGTGTGAAAAGTTTATAGGCATTTATATCAAAATCCTAAGTCTGAAAGTTTTTGGATCAAATAATATAAAATAAATTTATTATATGCCTGCCAAGGGGGCAAAAAAGTCTCATTTATGACAGGAAAGATATGATTACCGCAATATGGTTCCAGCACAAAATCAAATTTAATGCAATGTTTTAATGCTAGAGTTGAAAACTGTGTAAATAAGAATAAGCAGTATACTATGTTGTATTAAATGATTTGGATTTTCTATTTACATAAGTTAAAATTATATAGCAATCAATCATTACATATTGACTTTTGTTGATTTATCTTCCAATAATTCCATTTGCCATTCCTCAAAGTTTCCTTGGTGCAAACAATATGCAATAAAATATGCCTGCCGAGGGGCTAGGCTAGGGCATGGCAGGGACCCTGGGGGCACTGGTGGTGGGATTGGTATTGCAACATTGTATGTCTGAAACAATTCTATTAGGAACAGCATTATAAATCATGGTATCTTAATTTTAAAAAAGATTATAAAAGAATCCCTAAGTGTTAAACATGCCAATTGTTTTGATTTATAAACTGCATACTTTGGGGCAGGGAAGAATACATTTAAGTTTTTCTTAATAAGCACATTTAACCATACTACCAAAGAAAAAAATCAGTATTCTCTAAGTAAATGAAAAGTATAAATAGTAAACAGACTAAAGAATCACTTTAAGAAATATAATGAAGGGGCCAAAGAGATAGGACAGGGGTTCAAGTGGTTATCTTGCATTCTGTAGGACATTCCAAATCTCCAGCACCATGAATGGTCAGCAAAGCACCACCAGAGATATTTCCAGAGCAGAGAGCCAGAACAGACCTTGAGCACTGCAAGGTGTGGACACCCCCCCCCCAAAAAAAAAACAGAAAAAAAGAAACAGTGATATAGTGGAAAACTTCAGGAAAGTATTCAGGAAAACTTCAATCTTGAATAGTCATGAATTTAAAAGAAGGCTAGAAATAGCTTTCACAAAACATATTTTGAAAGATCAAAGTGTTACAACTTTTAAAATTGAATTCATTTGGTTTTTGTCCTCAACACACACTCTGGATTCTCAATATTATCTTCTGAAAACATAGAATCCTGACATTTAGTCTTACTTCTCCTCAACTATGAACCAAAGTTATTCCCAGACCAAATTCAAACAGATTTTTTCCCATAGAGAACAGCCAAAGGTAGGAAACAGCTGAAAAGAAATGAAGACCACACCAGAGAACTATGAAGTTCAGGAAGATCAGAAACATACGGGATGAGTCCAAGAGGAACAATGTAAGAATCATTGGAATCCCTGAAGAGCAGGAAGGGAAATGTGATGAAGAAACAACAGTTAAAGAAATCAACAAGAATTTCCCAGAGTTGAGGATTACAGAAACCACGAGACCTGAAGGGTTCCAGAGAAAAGACTAAAGTAGGAAAACTCCAAAACACATTGTACTTAAAATGGAAAATTCAAAGACAGAAAATTAAAAGCAACAAGATTAGTTCTAGAAGACGGAAGT